TGTGTGTGTGTGTGTGTGTGTGTGTGTGTGTTCTTCCCTACTTATCACATAACAAATTGAAAGCTTAATCTGTCCTGCGTGGAGATTTACAGCCTCGATCACTGGCTCTCTTTCATTGAGAGGAGGGGGAGAAAAAAGAGAGATAAAAAAATAAATAAAGATGAGGGAGGAGTAAAGGAGTAAAGGAGGAGTGAAGGAGAGATGGAGATGAAAAAGCAGTGAAGGGAAGATGAAGGAGTGAATAGTTTTTGCCTGAAGTTAAAGTGAACTATGAAGCAGGACTCATGGTTTAATTTAGAGTTTTCACTTCTACGATGCCTGTTCACTTGTTATCAGGGTAAATCTCCATGGTAACTAATGTTGAACAACTAACCTGCATGGTAATGCAAGGTAACCGTTCCCTGAGTATATGTCCATGCAGAAATTTAAAAAGCCATTTTATTGTACATATGTGTACTAATATCAATATACAGTAGAAATAGAATCACAGTGTTGTACCTCAGTCTACTTCCTTCTTTACTTTATATTTGTGTGTTTTATATCCTCTAGTTGAGCTTGAAGCCACCAGGGTTTCACCTGAAAGACTAAAACTGTCCCACACAGAGACGATACATGTAAATGATGTGATGGAGACACAGATGAGACTATATTCAGATCCACTCTTGTTAATGACAGAAAAGTTTTACTTTAAAAACAATCCAGATGTGTCACCAGCTGTTCTTCCTGTGGGTTAGGGGTTTCAGGGGTAAACAGAGTTATAGCAGAATCCAACACAACTGAAGTAACTGGATTCTTCAAAAGGTAAAAAACAACAGAAAAAAACTTAAGATGCCTCCATCCTGCTCCTGTGATGTCACCAAGTGTCCATAAGCCCAAACGTTCAAATTCAACTGGAAACGTTTTCATTTCCATCACGTTTTTAGTCTAAATGTCTCTGATATGCTGCTCGGAGCAACATTCACACACACACAAACAAACACATTGTGTCTTTCTCATAGGCAAAGTGGTGAGTAGATAGGCAAAGTGGTGAGTAGATCATTTTTGGCTGAACTATCCCTTTAACCAAGATGTATAACATTCTGCTGCTGAAAGAGAGAAGACGATGACGACGACAACAATAAGACAACAAACCTAAAAACAACAGTTAACATTTTATCAAACACAGAACATCTGTTCAGAGTGTGTGTGTGTGTGTGTGGGGGGGGGTGCTGAGTAATCAATACCCTCAGAGAGTGAAACCATCGTCTCAGAGGAACATCTGTCCTGTTACCATAGAAACATAAGTATAGAGACGAACACTTTCTGATTCTGTGTGTGTGTGTGTGTTCTGATGCAGGTTCTTCTTGAAGTTCTTTCTCAAGTGTAACCAGAACTGTCTGAAGAACGCTGGAAACCCACGAGACATGAGGAGGTTTCAGGTAACAAACACACACACACACATACACTCCCTCTCTCTCCCCCTGCGCAGGGTGAGCTGACAGGATGTTCAGTCCAGTTAGCAGGAGGAGGAAGACGGGGAGAGTGAGCCTCACCACGTATGTGGAGAGAGAGGGAGGCATGAGATAAATGAGACAGGTGAAGTCAGGTGAAGCCTGCGGACTCATCGCCAGTCGACATGGCGACAGCAGGGTGAAGGATGTTCTGGTAAGTCACCGTGGCGACAGAAAGGACATCTCCACCCGCTCTCTGTGTGACCTTCTGCTCCATCGCCATGGATCAACGACAACAACCTCGCCACGGCAACCAGCCGGGAATGATGAATGACCACAGCTGAGTTAGACTGTGACATCACAGACAGGGCGGGCCTGAGTAGACGAGAAAGGGGAAGTTCTTCACACTAGGTGGCAGCACACTTTATTATTTCAAAAGTATGATAAGAGTAAATAATTAGTTATGTTTATAAAATAAACACAGAGATGTAAGCAAAATAAATGGGATGTCGCCTTTGTCCCTCAATTATCTTCACCCCGCCTTTGTCTTTGTGTCCCTACTTAGTCTTCACACCTGTTTTAGCTTTGTCTCTCTGTCTTTTTCATCCCTCTGTCGTCCCCCCCCCCCCCCCAGAGACTCACGCAAAGCACAACATCGTGTTTTACTGCAGTTTATAAATATAGTTTTCTCTGTACATAGGTGGTGGTGTCTACGACTGTGAACGTTGACGGCCACGTTCTTGCTGTCTCTGACAACATGTTTGTACACAACAACTCCAAACATGGCCGCCGAGCCCGGAGACTTGACCCATCTGAAGGTGACTGAGTTTTCATTCAAATGACTATACACAGAGACCTGTTCACAATAAAAGTCTTTCAGTGATTCATGTAAACAACAAACCTGCAAACCCCCTGAAAGACTTTTATTGTGAAAACTGTTAACCTTCCTATCGTGGCTTAGTTTATTAAGACCATGTCACTTATATACAGTACGTGATCTGGTTAATCTGGTTAATCTGGTTAATCTGGTTAATCTCAACCTGTTTTATGGTGACATCATCTGAGTCAGAGAGGAAGTTCTTCATCTGTTTTTGTTACAGTCGCCCTGTCAATGACTCTGATTGGACGACGCAGGTAAGATCTCTGTTTCATTAACTAGTGTCCAACGTCATTTTGCAGGAAGCTGTGTGTGTGTTCCTGTACTTATGACTTTGTGGGGACCATTTTAAGCATAGATGACTTTTAAGTTTCAGGGTTAAAATCAGCTTTAGGTTAGAATAAGGCATTTAGTTTGGATGTTTAAGGTAAAGGGCTCGGGAATATAGTATGTCAATGAGAGAGAGAGAGAGAGAGAGAGAGACAGGGAGAGGGGGGGCAGAGAGACAGAGAGAGAGTATAATTTGGTCTTTGAAGAGAGATCACCCCAGTGGTTTATGGGTAAAAAGACCAGACGCCTCAGCGTCCCCAGAGAGGATGGTCTGTGTGTGTGTGTGTGTCTGTGTGTGTGTGTGTGTGTGTGTGTGTGTGTTTCTTTTGCGGCTGTTCAACCTCTTTAATTGCCCTCCTAATTAAAGATGGTAACCATGGAAACCACCTCTCCCAATCAGAGCTCAGGGGAGTCCCGTGGGTTTGAACCCGTCTCTCCGTCCTGTTGTTTCCTGTGCAAACAGCAGAGTCAGAGTCACTGTGAACTTTAGAATCTGAAAACAGTAAAATGAGAAGTTTCAGGACTTTATTTCAGAACGACTTTGTTTTCCTGAGAACAGAAACGTTCAGATATTAAGTCTCGTCATGATGCTCCCAATCAGTTTGTTTTTCAATCTGATAACATTCATGTGGTAAATATTCAATGATGTGAATAAGATAAATGAATGTTACTGCTGTTAAATATGTTCATTTGTTGAAGGACACTACAACTTCAGGAGAAAATCACAAAGATCAGGACTCAGTCTCCACTTGGGACTTTGATCTGGATCTGTCTGTATGCACTTTTGTTTTGTTGGAACTTGACTTGAGACTTATGTGGACCTGGTACATACCTGACTTGTTTTGGAACTGGACTGAACTTTTGACCGGAAGCTGGTTGATTCATCATCTTTCCTCTATCTATCATCAACATCAGTAGAATAAAATAGAATGGAATGGAGAAGAAAAGAATAGAGTAGAAAAGAAAAAACTGAAAAAGAAATAAACTATAATAGAATAGTAAAGAATAGACTAGATTAAAATAGAAAAAGAGGAACAGTATAGAGTAGATCAGAAAATAAAATAAAATAACAGAAAAGATCAGAATAAAATAGAAAAGAAAAGAATAGAATAGTTCAGGTGCTGTAATGTCATCTTCAATAGTCAGGGAAGAGATTAGCCTCACACACACACACACACACACACACTCAATGTTCTTTCATTTCACTTTATAATTAATCTGCAGTTGCACTTGAAAGAAGAGAGAGAGTAGTCATTACCAGCCAAGTGTGTGTGTGTGTGGTGGTGGTGAGGGGGTGCGTGCATGTGTGCATGTGTGTGTGAATGTACTAAGCTAAAGCGGATAAAATCCACGACCCAATTAAATCATGGTGTGTATATGTGTGTATGTGTGTGTGTGTGTATGTGTGTGTATGTGTGTGTGTGTGACCTTCAGTACTACTGTGGTATAAATCAGTGGTTCTCAACCTGTGGCCCTGGACCCTAACAAAGGGTCTGTGGATTATTCAGAAGCAAATGATCTGAGCAAATATGGATGCATGGACTTGGGCTTAAGTTCAAAAACTTTCAAGGACTTGACGGGGGGACTGGGAGAGGAGCTGAACGAGGACTTGACGACAGAACAAGGACTTGACGACTGGACGAGGACTTAGCGACAGGATAAGGAGATGATGACAGAATGAGGACCTGATGACTGGACGAGGAGTTCACGACTGGACAAAGACTTGACGACAGGAAGAGGACTTGGCGACAGAATGAGGACCTGATGACTGGACGAAGACTTGACGACTGGACGCGGAGTTCATGACTGGATGAAGACTTGATGACAGGATGAGGACTTGATGACAGGATGAGGACTTGAGGACTCGATGAGGAGATGATGACAGAATGAGGACTTGAAAACAGGATGAGGACTTGACAACAGGACGAGAACTTGAAGACAGGATGAGGACTTGAGGACTGGATGAGGAGTTGATGACAGAATGGGAACTAGATGACAGGATGAGGATCTGATGACTGGACGAGGACTTGATGACTGGACAAGGTCTTGACGACTAGACGAGGACTTGATGACTGGACGAGGACTTGATGACAGGCCGAGGACTTGATGACTGGACGAGGACTTGATGACAGGCCGAGGACCTGAAAGATGACTGGACAAGGACTTGACGGACAACTAGATGAGGACTTGACAACAGTTGCGTTACATCTGGTGTGAGACTGAGTGGTCACATGTCAGGACAGTTTTTCAGGATGTGGTGTGAGGTCAAAGGTCAATTTGAATATGTCATTGCTGATCTTCTGATTAACAATTCGTTGTCAATTGTCCTCTGAGAACATATCTGTGGCATGTGATGTTTTAGTGACGTATACCTCTCTCTCTCTGTCTACCTCTGTCTTTCTCTCCATGTCTCTGTGTCTCTCGTCCAGCAGCCACTCCCTGTATCAAAGCCATCAGTCCCAGCGAGGGCTGGACGACAGGCGGAGCCACCGTCATCCTGATAGGGGACAACTTCTTTGACGGCCTGCAGGTCGTCTTTGGCACCATGCTCGTGTGGAGTGAGGTACCGCTTCCCTGATCGGTCAGTTCATCCAACAATCAATGACAATGATTACATGATGTCACTGATTATCTCTCTCTCTCCAGTTGATCACCCCTCATGCCATCCGGGTCCAGACCCCCCCTCGCCACATCCCCGGTGTTGTCGAGGTCACGCTGTCTTACAAATCCAAACAGTTCTGTAAAGGAGCGCCGGGACGCTTCGTCTACACAGGTAACTAACACCTGTGTTTCAATAAGGCAGGAGATAAAATCAAAGATCAATCACTGGTAAATCAGAGATCAATCACAGATCAATCAAAGATCAGTCACAGATGAATCAAAGATCAATCACTGGTAAATCAGAGATCAGTCACAGATCAATCACATTGACATTATCAAGGAGTATTGATCACTAATCAATGATCAATTTAATTTTCTCACATCACAGCATTGGCTGCATCTGTCCAATTGTTTTCTGAGATTCTCCATCCTCGTCCAATCAGAACAAGTGTAAAGATTAATTTTATCTGTAATGATGTAAATCACTGCATGTCCGTCCTAAACAATTAGTACAGGGTTAAACATTTCACAATAAAAGCTTCAGCTGTGGATCTGGTCACCACCATTGATTTGCTGTGAAGTTCACGTCTGACAGGAAGCTGATGACTCAACAATCATGTTTCTTCAAAGGGAAGAATATGTGGTGTCATGTTGGATCAATACAGATCAATCAAATCATTAGGAACATGGTGTAATCTGAGCGGCATGCTGGGAGTTTTTACTGCAGAGATGTTATTGATTGACTGTTACACAGTCTAGTGACTTTCATCACAGACAATTAACCATAAAGACCTAACAGGAAATGACTGTGACAGACAGACTCACAACAGATAAAGATGGACACAAGGACATGTTACCTGGTAAAGGGTGAGATCCATCAGAGAAGACCAGGAAGTAAAACAAACAACATTTCAAAATAAAAGAGGAAGCCTGAAGGAGAAGAGTCGTCTTACAAACAATGATGTCAGGTTTTTACAGACATTCAAGATGATGATGAAGATGAAGATGATGATGAAGATGATGATGATGATGAAGATGATGATGTTGATGAAGATGATGTTGATGATGATGATGAAGATGATGATGATGATGATGATGTTGATGAAGATGATAAAGATGATGATGATGAAGATGATTAAGATGATGATGATGATGATGTTGATGATGATGTGTTTAATATCTTCCTCCTCTACCTGCTCAGCACTAAATGAGCCAACTATAGATTACGGCTTCCAGAGGTTACAGAAGGTCATCCCTCGTCACCCCGGAGACCCAGAGCGACTGCCCAAGGTACCACACACACACACAAACACACACACAGACACAGACACACACACAAACACACACACAGACACAGACACACACACACACACACACACACGGAGACAGACAAACAATGGTTTAATATAAACACAGTAAGTGATTACTGTCAGTGTTTTTTCCATCAGTCTGGTTTCTGGTCGACTGCTCAGAGTCTGATAATCATCAGCAATGGATGTGAGCATGCGTGTGTGTGTGTGTGGTAACAGAAATTGACACACACTCTGCTCTCTCTTTAATACACACTGTGTCACACACAAGAATAGAGTCTGGTGGAGGCTCCTGGTCTTGATCCCATTTCAGTCCAAACTGATGGATCTGATGAATGTGTCTTACGGCTACAGCCTCATTAAATTTAGTTTTGCTCCACCCAGTGTCCGCAACATATAAGGAAGACGCCACGGCAGAGTCAGTTTATCTGATAAATGAATCTGTGGGAGCGTGGAGGCCTGACCAACAAGAACAGAACAATGAGAAGATCTGGACCAACCACGCCCACTTTCACCACAGACTGTGCTTCTAAACTCATCTCCAAAACCAAAAAGAAAACCATGGTCAACCCTGTCAAAAGCTTTTTCCTGATGACATCAGTCCAGTGTCAATATACAGTTTACAAATGTCCCATGAATCTCTGATGAAAAAGAGGTTCCATCCACTTCTGAGACATCAGCAACATAACAGCTGAGTGTGATAACACTGTTGTATGGATCCTTTGTGGAAGAGGTCTGAACCCTGAGAAACAGAAGTTATGTATCTCTGCTCTGACCACAGCTTCTGTGTATATATATATACATATATACAGCCTGTGAGCATCTCTGTGGTGGAGATGATGTTAACGTTGAGCCGAGGAGAGAAGAGCTACATCAGCAGAGAAGTTAGTCCCATGAGAGAGGACATACTGGTCTTTCCACCACAAACCACAATCTGTCTCATTATCTGTAGTCTTGTGCATTTCCTGTAGAAAATCTACATTTAACTTTTTCTGTGAGGTCTGATATCACGTCCCTGTTCTGTCCATCCGTCTTCGTTAACATTTAATGATCCCATCCCGACTTTATCCATGAAGGGCTGAGAGAGGACAGAGCTAGAGACAGGTACAAGAGACAATAAGAGGAGGATCACCCAGTGACAAACATCATCATCTTCATCATCACCTGTCTGACCGTGTCTCTCACCTGTCTCACACTTATCAGTGGTGGGTTGTCCTCTGAGGCGGGCTTTTGGCCGATGCAGGCAAAGCACCCTCCAGTATGGACATCCCCACATTCAAAGCATGTGATGCTTCCTGTGCTGGTGTAGACCATCTTGAGTCTGACCAGTGTGACATCACAACCATGTCCCTCAGGGAAAAGTCAGCTGTGTGCAGGTGAAGAAGTCACATGTTTCAAGAAGCTAGGATCCATGTTTGTGTGTCCAGATACTTCTGGCCATGTCATGGAGTCCAAGCCTTGATCCTGGTCCTGGTCCTGGTCCATCTAGTCATGGAAGACATGTTTCTATGTTTTCTCACATATGAATCCTGTGTTTTCTGATGTGAGCTGATACGTTATCTTCAAAGTGAAAACCCCATCCCACAACATTGTCAATAATTCATTGGAATGGCTACATTGAATTACCCACGCTGCCTTGTGCTCAGCGAACAGCAGAGAGATGGTCGACCACAGAAACTCAGACACGTGGAAATAATCCTGATGACGGACTCAGCCAACCAGACCACATGTCCATACAGGCGTGTCCACCTGCTGTGCATTTCTGCTTGATGCACCTCCACCAGTGCCATTGTGCCAACTGCAGAGTCATCAGCCAGCAGCCATCCTTCAGCAGGTTTCTTTAATCCTGGAACATCTCAGGGTGGAGGAGCAGCAGCAGGGACATCTCCCTAACGACTGCTGCAGCTGGGCCTAGAACCTTAGTTTTCCCCACGCCCTGTTTCAGGACTGATCAAGAAACTTCCTTGATTGATTGTGGCGAGTCTGGAGTTCACCAGGTCTTTCTTTTCTTTCTGAGTGGTTGTTTGTGGACCACATGTTGGGTCATGTTTCCAATCCAGAGCGGGCTCTGCCCAACTGCGGTAATCCAACAATCTCTTTTTGTTTCAGGCAACTGATGTTTTGGTCTACTGCCTGTGTGGCCTTCCACTTAAGTCCTGTTTGAACATGAGCTTAACTAAACTTAACCAGTTGTCCACAAGTCGCTTATTGTCTCCAGAGACTTGTCTCCAGACTTTGTGTTTCACAGCTGAACAACTCAGCAGCAGGTTTTCTGCTGCTGAATTGCTCCTTCATTCCTCTTCGTTCTTCAGGTGAGAGGTGGAGCAGACAGACAGGAAGTGATCATGTGATCATGTGATCATTTTTACATCACCTGACACCGTCGTCAGCTCTTATCACCACAAACTGTCTTCACGTCTTCGTCTGTGTCTTCTACGTGTGTGTCAGCACTTTGTCTCCAGAGACATTTGTTTGTGTTTCTTCATGTTTGTGTTACGTGTTAGAAGCTCATCACCCCCCCCCACCACTCACTCAGTGGATCAGTGGAGGACACTCTGCTGTGTCCTCACTTCTCCTGGATTTAGACTTTAAACTGGAGTGAAGGAGGAGACAGACAAACCAAGTCTCACTCTGAAATTTGACTTCATCCTACAGAGAAGATCCAGAGAACTGAGGAGTTCAGGTCTGAAGCTGCTTTAAGGTTCCTTTTAGATCAAGTTCTTAAAGGATCCTGTTCTGCTTCATTAGTTGTTCAACACAATCGGATTTGAGATCAGGAGAGGAAGACAAACCTGTGCAGGAGTAAGTCGATCTTCGGGAGAAAAAGTTTCATGAAGGTCATGATCGTGGTCGAGAGGTCGACATGTCTCAGCTCCTCTGACAACCAATCAGACGACAACACTCCAAATCTACGTCACGGCTGTTTCTATGTAAACGAAGTAAACGACGCAAACACACACACACACACACACACACACACACACACAAACACACATTCATACACAAGATGAGTGAATAAAGGGTAAACCAGAGTGTTTTCATCTCTCTCTCTCTCTCTC